TTGGTCCCTCCCCATCTCCTCCTCCAAGTAGTAAAGGCAGTGTCTTTACCTCTTGATTCAATTCTTGATGTTGGTGTCTGTGTCTCAGGAATACTCTTATGGACCAATTATTGCAGTTGCTGTCTGTGTCCCAGGGAATCGCTACTGTCCCTTCTGTGTGTCCTGGAACTGCTGAGGTCTCAGGGGATGGGTGTGTTAGGAGGCAGAGTGGGACTTGTAGTTACAAGGTTTGGTGGGGGGTGATAAAGCAGCCTTCCTGCAGGAGGCTTGCCCACTGATCACTAGTGCAGCTGAGATGGGTGTGGAAGGGTCCTGGGGCTTTGCTTCAGTTCCTAGGTCCTAGAGACTGTGCTGTCCAGACGGGAGGCTGGCCACTCACCTCTACTATGGTCTACTCTGTGCATAACGGTCTGTGTCTCAGTGAGTCACTGAAAGTTTTAGGTAGTTAGAGTTTTTAAAAACAGTCTTGAGTCTGTGGGCACAACTACTCCACCTAAACCACATACTTCAGAAGACTGGAAAGCCGTTCCCTTCTATGTAAAGAGTCACATGCAGATTGTGAGCATCAGGCATGTTCCGAACATATGCAGCTCATTTCTGTATTAGTTGATGTTCCTGTCTTCTTTTCCAAAACTGTCTTCTTAAGAAAGAACTTTATTTAGAAGCTGGCTAAGAGTATCTGTATTGCCAAAGTGTTTGAAGTCTTGACTTTCACCAGAGGGTTTTCTCAGACTCTATGACTCTATTACCCAGGAACAGTTTCTGCAGCCCAACTTTAGACTGTTCTTGAGAATCCTCCTTCCTTCCTTCCTTCCTTCCTTCCTTCCTTCCTTCCTTCCTGCCTGCCTGCCTGCCTGCCTGCCTGCCTGTCTGTTTTGTTTTTCAGACAAGGTTTCACTGTGTAGCCTTGGCTGGCCTGTAATTCACTCTGTAGATAAGGCTTTCATTGATCTCTGAAATCAACCTGCCTCTGCCTCCTAAGTTCAGGAATTAAAGGGTTTGTCCCCCTGCCTGGCCTACACATTAACTTTTAGGTACCTTAGTTTGACTTGTTTTAATATTTGCTAATTCATCATTTCTTAAGAGTTCCAGGAGGGAAGAAGTGAGAGTGGGGAAAAAAGTTTTTAACTGTACAAGTGAAGGGCTCTGCTCCTAAGAAGTAAGACATTCGAAATATCACACAGCAAGTAAATGTGATGGGTCATGAGTGTGTCTCTCATTTCTGCAGAGTTAGTATCTACCATCTCCCTGCTCAGAATTCTCAGGAGGGCTCTAGGACCGCTATGCTCACAATAATAGGGAGTGATAGGTAGTCCATGGTGGTCAGAGGTCACACTGTCTGAGATGTGGAGTCAATCTTTTGTCCCTAGGAGTCAGACCTTAAGTCTGAAACAACCTGAAATGATTCCAAGAAAACAGAGAAAGATCTTCCGAGTTCCGGATCTGAAAGGCATGTTGCAAGTGTTTCAAGGTGAGAGCAATTGCATTCTGTGGTTACCTAGGGGACTCTAGGGGTGGCTGGGGCTGCACTCTCTGGATAGAGAGTGATGTCTCTGATCATGGGTAGAGAAACTGAGAAGAGCAGACAGTTTGTCCCAGTAATGCCATAATATTTAGTGGACATCATCATTCATCCTGTCCTATGTCACTGTTTCCAGATTTTCCACCACTCTGCAGAGCACATTGACTTTAAAGTTCTGATTCCCTTGCTTGCATTTAATGCTGTGCATTTTCATCATTTCAGGGCTCTTGGATGTCCAGCGCCACTGGGGTAAGGAGAAATCACACCATCAGCCTCTCTCGTCTTAATGTCTTTCAGAGTTTATTTCCCTACTAATACTTACATTTTCTGTTACTGCTCCCCATATGCACATCGATCTGCCTCTCTGTGACTTCAAACATGGCTCTGCCAAGAACCCTCTCACTTTCTTCTCAGACCTCTGCTACCTAAATCACTAATAAGGCAGTACCTTGTTTCTCATGTTACTCATAATTTATATGTCTCATTTTTCTGCAGTTCACGTGACCCTGCCTCAACTCAACAATAAAAACATTGTCATTAACGTGGACAAAAGACAAATACAACATAGAAGTGGTTATAGAAGAAATTTGCAAGTTTCTGAGTCCTATGATTTAGGTGTCCTAGGGTATCCAGCTATCTACTCAGGGAAACATTACTGGGAAGTGGACGTGTCTAGATGTGATGCCTGGATCCTAGGAATAAATGATGGAAGATGTGCTCAACCCCAGCTTCATGCAGTGAATGAAAAGGACTTCAGAGTCATGAAAAATTCTATTGTTAAACAGGATGTAAAATATCAGCCCCAATATGGCTACTGGGTTATAGGAATTACAAACAGGTCTGTATGTAATGTCTTTGAGGTGTGCTCTGTCCCTCAAAATGCTAGTGTCTCGTTCCTTTCTCTGACTGGCTCTCCCACTCGTGTTGGAGTTTTTCTGGACCGAGGAGCTTGCACTCTCTCGTTTTATGATGTTTTCAACCATGGGTCTCCTATCCATAGATTCTGTGACTGTTCTTTCCCTGCTGCGGTTTATCCATATTTTAATCTTATGGAGTCATCAGGGCCAATGACAGTCTGTGGGCCACCCTCTTAACCCCTCACTCGTATCTGCACAGTGCCCCATGTCTGATGTAGCTCAAATAGCTGAAGTCCATGGTATCATTACAGTTTTTATTTCTATCGTTGGTTGTAGGAAACCATGGCCTAGCTACCCTGAAAAGCATTTTTTATAGGTTTTTCAGTTTAGAGTCCATGTCTCCTGCTTTTCAGTTTCTGAGAAACTGATGCAATCCCCCAAACAGTAAAGCAATCAACCTACTTTGTGTTGCTCTATATGTTTCCTTAGTAGTCAAGGATACATGGAAGTTTGAGAGGACCATAGGTCTTAGACATTAATCTTGGGTACCCTTATAGATTCCGAACTTCATTGTTTCCTGGCAACTACAACTGTATTGATCCTGGAAATTATGATTGTATTCTGTATGAAAAGTTTGATTGCTCTCAACAAAATTGTCACAGCCTCTGTCTTGCTGTGGCCTCTCCAATCTAGGCCTTGTTTCATTCCTTATGGCCATATCAGGTGACCTTGGCCTGGTAAGTAAGCACTGGCACTATTTTAATACTCTACACTTGTCAATACAAACCAGTATGGATTCTTTTCCTTGATCCAGTTACCTGTCTGTTTACAAGACAGTAGGAATTCATCTCTTCCCGTATTTCCAAAGACAATGACTCCTCATGGGGTGAGGTAAGACCTCTGCTACCCTGTACTTCCTGTTTTGTGGTGCTATAGATGGACGCCAGGGCCTTGTGCATGCTGCTGAGGTGCTCTGCCACTGAGCCACTTGTCTCAGCTCTGCCAAGTCTCCACAACCCCATTCCTCTGTCACTGACAAAAGATGACAGAAAGTTCTTCTCCACCTTGGAGAAAATATGTGTAGGAGTCTCTAGCCTAGGAATGAGCCTTTAGTGGTACATCAGTTTAACCACAATGCTGTGCTTCATCAAAACTTAATAGTGAAATATCTCTAATGGTAACCACGAAGACTGTGTTCATAATACCTGGGTTCTAATCCTGCTGTTCTACATAGAAGTGTAACTCTGAATAGCAACCTCAAAAACTTATGCTTTATGGGTGTTTTTTAAATTTTTTTCTTTGTTTGTTTATTGTTTGTTGTTGTTACAGTTTTACTGTTGTAGAGTGCACACATACTGTAGGTCAGTCTCAGAAAATAGATTTGAGCTGTGTTAGGAGGCTCTGAGGGTAGAAGCATTTTCCTCCAAGCTCAACTGACCTGAGTTCAATCAATTAAACCTCATGTTGGAAGGAGGCAGGCAACTCCCACAGATTATCCTCTACCTCCGCACACATGATGCAGTACGCACAGGCCTACATACATATGCAAATGTGAACGCATTATGTACGTTTTTAAAAAGAACAAGTCTTATGCACATCAAGCATCCACTGCACACTCAGTAGTTGCTTTCTCTGTTAGTTACTGGGGAGATGTCCTGGAATGGTGATCCATGCAAAAGCGGGCAGATGGGAGGAGTGAAGATTTGACTTTCCTGATATAGATCCTTGAATCTGTCACCGAGCATATTCTAAAATGTTGTAGATATCAATGATTATTGTTTTGTTTTCACATTTTTTGAGAGGATAATTGTGGGGCTCCATTTGTTTCTTATGAAGTACATTAAATCCTATGATTTCCATTTCCCAATGAATGATGGTGATGCCCGTGAACTTCCCTTGTGCTGTGTTGTGAAATATGAACAATAGAATGTTTCTAAAAACTTACACTGCCTCTGGCATATAAATGATATCCACTGTGGCATCTGTTCTGTCTCCTTGACGTGATCAATGTGACTGTAATAAAGGATTGGTGAGGTTGAATACCAGAACCTGGCATGATGGTTTTGATACAATCCCAGTACTCATGAGGCACAGACAGGACGGTTGCTGTACATCTGAGTCCAGGCTCAATTAAGAAATAAGATCCTTCCCTGTTTTGTTTTACTTTTAAAGAGCTTTTGGATGAGGTTCAAGAGGACATGGTGAGGGATTACAGGGCAAGACGGAGTTTATTTGGATTCAGATTGCCATAAGTAAACAGAAAGACTGAGATTAGACAGCATAGTGGGTGTTCCCAGGAGAGTTCAGGCTCAGCACCAGAGAGGACTGAATGGAGAAATTTCTGGAGAGCATCAGGGGCCCTGTAGTGGAAGAACAGGACTGTACTTATGCTTTGTAGAATGGAGGGGTAGGTTCACAGCAGGAGCCTGCAGCTAGGCAGGAGGCAGGGCAGTCATGTGACACAAACAGGATACCCTTTCATGAAAACTCACTTAGGTTAGTGTGACACTGGCAAGGGATCTGCTGGGGACTGATTTTGAGTGGAGCTTCATCTTTTCTCTATGTGTGACAGCAGAGAGGCAGTTACAGGGCAGCATGTAGTTTGGAGCTTCTAGCACTACCTGGTGGCAGAGAATGCATCAGCCACTCAAAACATCACCACACTTTGTTTGAAGAATCAAAATACCTGTAGTAAAAAATAATGGATGATTTTTACTTTAATCAAATTATAAATTCATTAAAGAAAAAAAACCTACGTTCATAGCTCTCTGGTGTCCTTTTTGTTTAATATTTCTTCCATAATTGTGTTCCATGAGAAAGCCTTCCCTCTGAAATAAATGTCAGCGTGTATTGACACAGTTAGACTCACACATTGCTGCACTGCTCAGCAGTGTGACCAGTGCTGTGCTCTCCTGGCCGCCTTCATTCTTGTCACTGTGTTTAGGGACTTATGGCAGACAGATTTGACCACAAAGTCAAATCTTTGTATGGAGTCAGGAGTGGAATTGTGTCTGCAGAGAAAGTTTTCAAAGAGCTAATTGACTATCTGAACATTTTGTGGTTTTAATTCCCAAGAAGGCTGTAGGAAGAAACAGCAGAGGCATTGGTTTAAATCTGTAGTAGACAAAGACAGGGTAGCTCATTACTCTAATACCTGCTGTGTGGTATTTTGTCTGTGTTTTGACAAATAAAGCTTGTTTGGAGTCAGAGGGCAGGGCTAGCCACTAGGTGACCATAGAGGTTTAGAGGACTGGAGACAGGAGACATGAAATAGCAAGGTGAGAGGGATCTGGTCCTTTTTGTATAGAGGAATGGAAGAAATAGGAAGAAACTGTTGGCTGCTCCCTGTTCTCTGATCTTTTAAATTCTTACCCCTGATGTTTTTTTATTGATAAAGATTAATTAGGATAACAATTCTACCTTTTTTTTTTTCCAGTTTGAGGTTGGAATACTGCCAGGAGTTAGAGACCATTCTGAACACTAGTCAGTTCCAACCCAGTCTGCGATGTTAGTTATAACCCTGCTTTGAAAACAAAACCAAAGTTGTAAAGATTTTGCATAATTATTAACAATTCAGAAAAATCAGAATATCATAATATTGATTGACAGTCATTGTGTCCACAGCAAGAACAACAGATCTGTCTCTTCACCTCATCAAGATTTAGAGTTTGGGCTAGGGGTTAGCCCAGGGATGTAACACTGGCCCAGCATTCACAAGGTCCTGGGTTCAATCCCTGAAGTACAAAAACAGAAGTAAAACAATAGCAAAAACCCATGGTCTCAGCACTGGGAAGGCTGAAAGAGTCAGAACTCAGATAGTGGTCAGGTTGGGGTTCATTGTGAGAGCCCGTCTCTAAAAATAAGAATAGAAAGAGGTGGAGGAAACAGGTATGATAAACAAAACTCAGCTGTCACACTGTATGCCATATTTTAGTAGATGTGAGAACATAAGGAACACATGAGATAGGAATGCAGGAGTGGGGGTGAGACTGAAAATGGGGATGGCTCAGTCTTCCCCATTGTTTCCCTTACACAACTGCTGCTGCGCCAACATGGCAACTGTCGTTCTTCTGAGCGAGGGACGTTGGGATTAACACACAACACAACTTCAGGTTCTGCAGACAAGCCTTTATTTCACTTTCTCACACAGTATATATATATATATATCCCTCAGCAGGGGAGGTCAAGCCAGTAAAAGCAGGAAGCTCATCACCGTAACTCAATGGCTTAGGGGTAAACATCCTTAGAAACATTGCTGAAAACAATAGATTGTTCCTGTTTTTGTTCCCGTTTTCAACCAACCGCAAGAATGCAAAACAGATCAAGTGGGGGTGCAAAGTCCTGTCCGCCAGGGACCCAACAATTCCCCCCTTTTTATTTTAAAAGCATGAAAGCCCCTGTCTTAGGACTCCCCCATATAGATGTAGTAATAAGAGTGGCGGGGCTGCGTCCCTGGCACCCTCTGTAGTAGTGGGAGTGGCGGGGCTGCTTCCTGCCACCGGCTAGCTTTACCAGAAATAATTACATGGAAACTGTATTCTTTAAACACTGCTTGGCCCATTAGTTCTAGCCTCTTATTGGCTAGATCTCATATCTTTGATTAACCCATTTCTAATAATCTGTCTAGAACCATGAGCTGGTGACTTACCAGGGGGGATCTTAACCTGCGTCTGTGTCCTGTGGGAGAATCATGGTGACTGACTGACAAGGCTTCTTTCCCCCAGAATTCTGTTCTGTTTTCTCTGCCAACCTAATTTTCTGTCCTATCAAAGGGCCAAGGCAGTCTCTTTATTTAACCAATGAAATTAATACAAAACAGAAGACTCCCACATCATTTAGAGACTCTTGTCTATAGGAGGCCTTAATCCCTGTCTTAGGTGAGCTCTCTATACCAGGACAGTTGCCCATCATAGGGATCCCTCATGACTTCTGCAGCATCTGCAGCCAGACTTGGGGCACTTCCTGATTACCAGAAGACAGCCTGAGCACCACTTGTCAAGTGACAGTGTGCTATATGTGGAATTGTTGCGTAAAGCAGCAGAGAATCCAAAAACAGATACTCCCAATAGCAATATCAGTACAAGCGAGAGCATTTCAGACAATCGCTGGACCCAGCCCCAATTTCACCAACTGGATCCAAACACAGCAGGGAGCCATGTGCTATTAATACTAACAATATGATGAGCTGTCTACAGGGAGAAATTCAAAAAGGAGGAATTCCAAGGGCCATCCAAACAAGTATTCAACTGTTCAACCACATCAGAAGCATTTACAACATTAGCAGGTGTAATGTACGAGACACTTGTTGTATGAGTCAAAGAAAATCTACCTGTTCTTGCAAAAGCACAGTTTGTTGATTTAAATTTAAAAGTCCAAGTCCAATATGAGAGTCCAGAGCACACTGTGTCTACAGGGACTCACTAACCCTTCCAGACAGCTGATCTCCTGATGTTCTTGAGACACCAGCACCAGCAGAGGAATCACAGCAGGCACTCAAACGATCAAAGCTCCATCAGAACTGTCCCAGCAATTACTCAGCTTACAGATCCTCGAAGAACAATTAAGAATATTGCCCCCCCAAAGTGCCATTCCACAATACAAAGAAAAATTGGGGCAGGAATGCAAGCAGAGGATCGAATAGTCATATTGCATCCAGCAGTATTATAAATTCAGGCTCTTGAGTGAAACATTCTCCCAATAAACTGTGGGGTGGAGATTAAAATCTCTATCAGCATCCCGACACTGAGGAGCAGGTTTGGGACCATAGGTATTATGTAATACTCACTGGCATTAAAAGTGGAGGGTTTCTCACTAGACTCCCAATCATTCGTAATTCTGTTGTTACCACAGTCATCATCTGAAGCAGAAGGAGCGTCACAGGCTTCATCCTGAGTCACTGGCCTTATGCACCATTCTGGCACCCAAATTGGTTTATCAACTTCTGGAGGAAAAACACATACTGCCCCCCCTCACCTTTGCCAACAAGGGGGTTGGCTCCATCCATCTTCCTGTTTGTAGATCTTTCCAATGAACCCATTTTAGGCTCTAAGCTCTAACTTGTGTATGGTGCTCCATAGGCAAGCACCCTTCAGCATCCAAAAGAATGATGGATAATTGAGTTACTGGGGAGAATATGAACTCTCCCATTTTTATTTTTTGAAAATATTGCTGAGGGTCTGATCAGCTCTTTCCATAATTGTTTGACCCATTGGGTTATATGGGATGTTTGTTTTATGGGAAATTTCATAGAATGAACAAAAGGATAAATTTATTTTGCTGATATATGCTGGGCCATTATCTGTCTTAATGACCTCAAGTTTGCCCATATAGGCAAAAGCAGAAAGGCAGTGTGCAGTGGCATCTTTTGCTCATTCTCCTGAATGCAAGGATGCGAAAATTACTCCTGAAAAGTGTCTACTGATACATGGACAAACTTAAGTGTCCCTGTGGCAAGCAGGTGTGTAACATCCATCTACCATAACTGATTTGGTCGTAACCCTCGTGGGTTAACTCCTAAATTGGGTCTGCCTAGGAAAGGAGCACACTGAGGACAAGATGATGTAATGGCTTGTGCTACTTCTCGCGTGCATTGAGTATGATGCTGAAGGGAGCGTGCATTAAGGTGAAATTTATCATGTATTTCTTGGGCAGGGTCAGAAGTAAAGCAAACATATGTATATTTATCAGCTAAATCATTACTTGCTGACAATGGCTCAGGCAGCTGGGTATATATGTCTGACAAACAAAGGCTCAGTCCACTGCCAAATCAAATGCTGAACACAACTGAGCAAATGATGGACCTTAAAGGCAGGTGATATATATGCAGATGTCTCCAATGGCTTAAAGATGTGGGCCATATACACACTATCAGAATACAAATTTACTGGTTACCCAGGCAAGAGCTGGAGTGCAATGAGGCAGGCTGTTACCTCTGCAGCTTGGGCTGATACATCCCCCACAGGATGTTTCCACACTTTTCCTCCAGAAACCACTACTGCATTAACTTTAGGGGAAGTATCTGTAAAAACAACATGAGCTGAGGGTGTGGGAGATCCTGTAATTACTCAGCAGAATATAACGGGATGATTTTTTTCCAACTTTTTTAAATTTATTAAAGATTTCTGTCTCTTCCCCACCTCTGCCTCACCCTTTTCCCCCCTCTCCCAATCAAGTCCCCCTCACTTGTCAGCCCAAAGAGCAATCAGGGTTCCCTGCCCTGTGGGAAGTCCAAGGACCACCCACCTCCATCCAGGTCTAGTAAGGTGAGCATCCAAACTGCCTAGGCTCCCACAAAGCCAATACGTGCAGTAGGCTCAAAAACCCATTGCCATTGTTCTTGAGGTCTCAGTAGCCCTCATTGTCCGCTATGTTCAGTGAGACCTGTTTTAACCCAGGCTTTTTCAGACCCAGGCCAGCTGGCCTTGGTGAGTTCCCGATAGAACATCCCCATTGTCTCAGTGTGTGGATGCACCCCTCGTGGTCCTGAGTTCCTTGCTCGTGCTCGCTCAATGAGATGATTTTTGAATAGGACATTAATGGATGCTGAGGATAATGAGAATCAAAACTTCTGGAAAAGGAGGTGAGAAAAGGGGTCCATTCATCATGGTACTGCTGTAAATGTGCTAGGTGGTCTTTCGTATAAGGTATTATAATCTTGTCAGGGTACTTCCCAAACATCTGGGTAGTAACCTTCTTAGTTT